AAATGAGCTATTTCTGTGAGCGTCAGGGAAGGCTTCAAAGGGTACAATTAACACCTGAGTCAGGTTTTGAAAGATAAGCAGGTCATTAGGTAGGCACAGTGTGAAAGCAGGTCAAAGGTGGAAAGGATCAGATAATAAGGTTCTTTAAAGCACTGGAGTCTAGGGAATGTGTGAAAGATTGTGAGGATTAAATCTAAGAAGCAGACAGAGACCAAATCGCACAAGACCCTAAATGCTAAGAGAGTTGCAGTTTATTTGGAAAGCAATGGGGGTTATGGATCAATTTTAATTATGACACTCACACGAACAGTATCCTTACTTGAGAACAATCCTGTATTCAAGAAGGGGTCTGAGGGGCAGGTGTTGTAGTGCAACAGGTTGAAGCACCCCCTGGCTTGCCTGCATCCCTTATCAGAGAGATAGTTCGGCTTCTGAGTCCTCCACTTATGATTCAGCTTCCTGAAAATCCACCTGGGAGACAGCAGCTGATGGCTCAAGCACTTGGGCCCCTGCCAACCCCATGGGAGACCCAGGTAGAGTTCCAGACTCCTGGCTTTGACCTGGCCCAGCCCTGGTTATTGTGGGCATTTGGGGAATGAATTAATAGATGGAAGATTGAACTCTCTCTCTCTCTCAATAAAGAAAAAAAACATTTAAAACATAAATATATACATATATACACATATATGCAAGGTTCTGATAAATACTTTCATTCTGGAGAATGATTCTCAAGTGAAATATATGAGCTCTTAGGTAGAAGAAGACACCTATAGCAAGATCTGATGGGCCTGAAGCAGTAGGGGGAGTGGTATTTGCTGAAGGAACATGCTAGACCTCACTGTAGGTATGACTGGCCTTTGAAGAATCATTTGTTCAGTTCTTGGAGGAGAAAAAAGATGGATGTCCCTGCTTCTGTTCCTTTCGCTACTCAGAGGCTAGTCTTCAGAATTCTGTGCCTGTGTGAGATGGAATTTGGGAGAATAGCACCCTCTGGAGGAAAGCGGGTTTGGGCTTTGGGAGGGGCGGCAACACACCATTTTCAGAACGTGGGCAGGCCTGTTTCCTTTCCCCAGGGGGCAGGTCAGCTTGCCCTTGGCACGTAGCTGATTGTTTACTTGCTTCTGATTCTGGCTGCTGTGGAAGACAAAACTGCCTGGCTGTGGGAGGTGGCACAACAGCTGGGAGCCGCAGATCACAGCTGGAGGTGGCAGATGTAAAGGCTGGCAATAGTGGGCCCAACAGCCGGAGGCGGCAATCACAACAGCCAGAGGCAATGCAACAGTAGACAAAATCCCCCATGCTCATGAGTCCAGAGCCTTGGCCCCCCAAGTGGCCCCTACGGCTGGAGCTAGCGCCCAAGCACTTGGGCCATCCTCCACTGCCTTCCTGGGCCACAGCAGAGAGCTGGACTGGAAGAGGAGCAACCGGGACTAGAACCTGGTGCCCATACGGGATGCTGGTGCCACAGGTGGAGGATTAACCAAGTGAGCTACGGCGCCGGCCCTGCTCTTTTCACATTTGAACTATCCTATTTATTGCAGTTCAGCTGGTGCTATCAGTCTGGAATCATTTTCCCTGTAGCTTGAACTTGCTGGTTTTGGTTGCTCTTCTTGGAACTCAAAGAACTAGTCCAAAGCATTCATGTGACAGTCCTTCAAACCAAGCATTTGCACACATCTATTATATTCTTCTGACTAAACCTCCCCATTTCCTTCAACCATTTCTCATGTGATCTTGCTCTGAATCCTCACATATCCTCATTGTCCCTTGATAATGGAAACTGCCTGCAGGACTGGGATGAACAGAGCAGAGTAGAATCAACTACGTCCTTACTGTAAAGGCTTTAAGTAGCCTAAGATTGCATCACTTTATGTGGCAACTAAGATACATGAATAATTCATATTGGATTTTCTGCTAAAGTGTTTATTTTTTTCTCATGTTATTTCTTGCTAAATCACATCTCTGAAAACCAGAACTTGCTCAGGTAATTTTTGAACCTCAGTTCATAATCTAGCTCTTATCCTTTTTATTAGATTCAGTCTACTTTTTTGCTCCTTTTGAACCCTAATGTTGCCCCAGCCCTTGAATTTTCAATCCACTCCAGTTTTGTGCCATCCATATAACATCATATTGTCTGATAGTTTTGATGGAATCAGTGTTAAGAACCTTTAATAGGGCCGGCGCCGCGGCTCACTAGGCTAATCCTCCGCCTTGCAGCGCCGGCACACCGGGTTCTAGTCCTGGTCAGGGCGTCGGATTCTGATTCTGTCCCAGTTGCCCCTCTTCCAGGCCAGCTCTCTGCTGTGGCCCGGGAGTGCAGTGGAGGATGGCCCAAGTGCTTGGGCCCTGCACCCCATGGGAGACCAGGAGAAGTACCTGGCTCCTGCCATCGGATCAGCACGGTGTGCCAGCCGCAGTGCGCTGGCTGCGGCGGCCATTGGAGGGTGAACCAATGGCAAAAGGAAGACCTTTCTCTCTGTCTCTCTCTCTTACTGTCCACTCTGCCTGTCAAAAGAAAAAAAAAGAACCTTTAATAGGACAAGGCCAAAGATAAAGCTCTTGGGTACATCATTAGAAAATTAATTCCAGGCTATCATGGTCCATTCACCAGTACCACTAATTTTTTTATTTTAGGTCACATAATACATTAAGATGCTGTTTATTTTTCTCTATCTTATCCTCAAGGACACAGAGATCTTGTCAAAAACCTTGATGATATAATTTAGGTATACTTTATTGTCTTTCTGATTTGTTGATTTAGTAACCTCATCACAGAAGGAAATTAAGTTCTTTTGTTCTGACTTTTTGCTAATAATGCATACTGAGTCTGTTGATAACTTCCTGTCCCCCATTCTGCCCAAGTACTCACAATCATATCTGTTTGCCTATAGTTTATGAGATGTACCTTAGTTTGCCTTCTGAAAATTAAAAAAATCATCTTCAATCATTCCCAACTCTGCAGTAATTCCTCTGTTCTCTAATATTACTCAAAATATCCTATAGAGGTTTTATATCTTCTTTTCATGAGTTTAAGGATCCAATGAGGAGGCATGCTAATGCATGAACTCTAAAATGGTATATACATGCAGGCATTGTGCTGGTGGTTTGGTACTACTGAGAATGAAAGAGGGCTTTATTTGGACTCCAAATAAGACTTCTCTCAACTTCAGAGTTTCAGAGCTTCCTTTTTGCCCTAAAGTAACTGGTCAGTGAATGGCATCCAAGTCTGGCTAAGTAGCCTCGCATGGATAAAAATCCCAAAAGGAATGGGGCTGGTAATATGGCCATTTTAATTGCCTCCGAACATTCTTGGGATTCTCATCCATTGATGATCTCTAATTCAGTGCCTGGGGCTGGCTCTGTAGTGTAGCAGGTAAAGCTGCCACCTGCAGTGCCGGCATCCCATGTGGGCGCTGGTTCGAGTCCCAGCTGCTCCACTTCCGATCCAGCTCTCTGCTATGGCCTGGGAAAGCAGTAGAAGATGGCCCAAGTCTTTGGGCCCCTGTACCCATATGGGAAGACACGGAGGAAACTCCTGGCTCCTGGCTTCAGATGGGCACAGTTCCACCCATTGCGGCCAATTGAAGAGTGAACCAGTGGACAGAAGACCTCTCTCTCTCTCTCTTTCTTTGTCTCCCTCTCTTTCTCTCTCTGTGTAACTCTTTCAAATAAATAAATAAATCTTTAAAAAATAATAATTCAGTGCCTACCTGGATGGGAAAATGAAAGGACTCCAGTATTTTAGTGTTTTACGGGGGCAAGGGCATGGGAAAAATAGGATGGGGGCAGTATAAAGAATAAAATACAGTGATGCAGACTTTTTGGAATGGAGAATGTAAAGGACCTCTCTGTTCCCCCCAAAAGGGAAAACTCCTGACAGATCACCTTGCTCCTCCCCAGAAGATCTGGCTATCAGATCCAGGGTGCCAAGACTCAAGTGATTAAAATTCTGTCTTCTGGAAAAGTACAAGTTACTCCTTGGACAGGGTACCAGGCACCTTGTGTTAAGTGAACTGTCTCATATTGCAGTGACTTGTCCCATTTTCTACTATCAGGACAAAAAGCAATCCCGAATTTGAGCCTGCAGAAACATAGCCACTAGACAATCCTAACTCTTGTACTTTATTCGATCAAAGCAATTTTGCCACCTATAACCTGGCATTTCTTATGATCCTTGGGGAAACATTCCAGTGCTCCCAGGAAGCGTCAGCATGTTGCTTCTCTTCCACTTCTACTTCTTTCTTTTCATTCAAATCCTGTATGTACTCTTCTTTACATCACTCTGAGATCTTAATCCATGCCAATTTCCCCAAATGATGATGATGATGATGATGATGATGATTAGAAAATGAAATGAGTTTGGTGCTTGGAGAGCATCTTAAAGGGTAGAATAATGGGAAGTTTCTGCTATTTTATGTTCCAGATGAGTATCTTAGTATCACCAATGGGTATTGATTTGGGATTAATGGAGAGAAAGGAAAAATTAAGGGTATTTGTGTGTGTTAAGGGAGATTGGCTTAGAAGGGTTTCAATGGAATAGCCTTTCTTGTCTCATGGTAGCCATTCATAAGAGTGGAAAGGGATCCTATTTCAAAACTAGAGATCATCACAGACCTGGTTTTGTGGTGACTGGAGATCAGTAGAACTCTCAGTCTCAACCCCATCTTCAAGGAACTCTGTACTTATTACTATTTCTTCTTTGCCTTTCCTGTAATGCAATCTAATATTAGATTGTATTACAATTATGCACTTAGTAAACAGTGTCTTTCTTATTAGTTTATGAGTTCTTAGAGCAAAGATGATGTTATTTTCATCTCTGACTTACCAGCACCTTGCACAATGACTGGCCTATAGTAAGAATTCAATAAATAGTTGCTAAGAACAAAAGAAAGAAATGATACCAAAGTGAATGTAAATTATTCCCCCTTCCTATTGGGTGGTGTCTAGGAGTTGGCTTTGTTTCTAAAATAACTTCTATTATGCTGTCTTGCTCCTTTCAGATGACGTCAGCTGCCAAGGTATATTACAGTCAGACCACTCAGACAGAAAGCCGGCCCCTGATGGGCCCAGGGATACGACGGCGGAGAGTCCTGACAAAAGATGGTCGCAGCAATGTGAGAATGGAGCATATTGCTGACAAGCGCTTCCTCTACCTCAAGGACCTATGGACAACCTTCATTGACATGCAGTGGCGCTACAAGCTTCTGCTCTTCTCTGCCACCTTTGCAGGAACCTGGTTCCTCTTTGGTGTGGTGTGGTATCTGGTAGCTGTGGCACATGGGGACCTGCTGGAGTTGGGACCCCCGGCCAACCACACCCCCTGTGTGGTACAGGTGCACACGCTCACCGGAGCTTTCCTCTTCTCCCTTGAATCCCAGACCACCATTGGCTATGGCTTCCGCTACATCAGTGAGGAGTGCCCCCTGGCCATCGTGCTTCTTATCGCCCAGCTGGTACTCACCACCATCCTGGAAATCTTTATCACCGGTACCTTCCTGGCGAAGATTGCACGGCCCAAGAAGCGGGCCGAGACCATCCGTTTCAGTCAGCATGCAGTTGTGGCTTCCCACAATGGGAAGCCCTGCCTTATGATCCGAGTTGCCAATATGCGTAAAAGCCTCCTCATTGGCTGCCAGGTGACAGGCAAACTACTTCAGACCCACCAGACCAAGGAGGGTGAGAACATCCGACTCAACCAGGTCAATGTGACTTTCCAAGTAGACACGGCCTCTGACAGTCCCTTCCTCATTCTACCCCTTACCTTCTACCATGTGGTAGATGAGACCAGTCCATTGAAAGACCTCCCTCTTCGCAGTGGTGAGGGTGACTTTGAGCTGGTGCTGATCCTAAGTGGGACAGTGGAGTCCACCAGTGCTACCTGCCAGGTGCGCACTTCTTACCTGCCAGAGGAAATCCTTTGGGGCTATGAGTTCACACCTGCTATCTCACTGTCCGCCAGTGGCAAATACATAGCTGATTTCAGCCTGTTCGACCAAGTTGTGAAAGTGGCTCCCCCTAGTGGCTTCCGTGACAGCACCGTTCGGTACGGAGACCCAGAAAAACTCAAATTGGAGGAGTCCTTGAGGGAGCAAGCTGAGAAGGAGAGCAGTGCTCTTAGTGTGCGCATTAGCAACGTCTGATGGCCTGTTCCCACATCCCCATCCCGCAGGTCTCCCTTCCTCTTCTTCACGCCCTGGGTCAGGGGAGCTTCCTGGGTTTACTGGAGAGCCCTAGAAGCATCCATCTTCCTCTCCCTCCTCTTTAACCCGGTGGCCTGTCAGTCAAGGCCAACTGCTGTCCAAATTTTCCTCCCACCATCTCCTTTCACTTTCCCCTGCTTCTACCCCAATACACACAACTGCCTTAAGCCAGGATGGGGGAAGGAGAGGGAACATGGGGCTGAAGTGGCTGAGAAGGCTTCAGCCGTGCTTGGAGACTCACGTTAGGAGGACCATGTGGTTGGATGGATGCACCCCGCACCACCATCACCATAAAGTCTGGTGACTTGAGGCTAGCCCCATCCCCTCTGTCTCTAGTTTTACATATAGAAAGTTCCTTCATAGCAAGACTCTCTTGAGTGGTCTCTTTGGTGCCCTCAGAAATAGAGGAATCTGAAATCAGTTTATCCTAGAGCCTCTACCAATCCCTGTTGAAAGAACTCAGGGTTTGTCTAGCTTCTGCTGGTAACTCCTGACTATTGCCTAGAATCTCAATCACCACTATCTTTCCCTTTCTAGTTTCTTAAGCGGACTCCTTCGAAATAACTAGTCCTCTGATAGCCTCAGCTCCAAGAGAATTGGGGTTGATTCAAGAACCATAAACAACCAACCTGCACACCTGCACCCATCCTGGATTCTGAACTCTTTAAGTTGGAATGATTAATGCAGAGTGTTGCCCAAACATTGGACTTACCTTCCATAAAACCTTGGGAAGATTGCTTCTCCTATGACTAAGCCAATATTTGAGAAAAGCCCAGTGCCCAGGCCCCATGGAAAAGCCTGAAAATGATCTTCCATGTTACACTGTATCTGGTTTTTCTTCTTTCCTGCCTAGCTCAGGTCCCTCTTCCATTTAACCCCAATCCTTTGGGGGAAAGGAGGGGACATGCCAAGGGCCTGTCTTAACACTGTCTTAACACTGGTGCTCCCCTGAAAACAGATTCCCTAGGAAAGTAAAATCAACCTCACAAGTGAATTCTCAGATTTCCAAACTGCTGTACAGAGCCTCTGGGAATTGGCGATCTTTGTGAAGGATTGGACAGTAGCAGAACTCTGTGGCCTGTAGCCACTATTGTGCCTGATGTGCCTCTCTGTGCCCATCTGAAAAGTGCCAGTTATTTCAGTAGGCAGTGCTGGGAGAGAAGGAAATGATACCTCCTCATCAAATAACCATTGTCTCTCGCAGCCATTCCTGAGACTTGGTAAGAAATGATGAAAATCAGTGTCATCTCTACTCTCCTCACGCATGCTAAAAAGTATACTTTGCATTCCCTTTTCTTTGGTTTGGGCTGTGATAAAGCGCAGGGTAGGGCATATAGGCACCAGAACTTTCTCTAAAGCCCCAGATCCCAAGAGTGCTTTCTGGTCTCATTTAGGTACCATGGAACTCCCCAAAAGTGGCTTGGCATAGAGATCCTGTAGGGATCAAAAGGCAGTTTTATTTTTTAAAGTGAACTGATGAGCCATGCGCTCATGCAGAACACACACAGGCATCTGCGTGCAGATCCTTACAGAGAAACTCACGGCACTTCATGACTGGACCCATGGTCATCATCTGCTCTAATTGCATAAAGTCCTATTATATTCATCTTTCCTTGAACTCAGTTAACTGCTGAAAATGAAGACCATTCAGTCTCTACTCACGGTAAAAACCAGCATTTCTGTCTCTCTCATGAAAACAAGAACCAGAAAAACCTGAAAATCGGAAACAAAGAACAGAAGGCAAAGGGCCAGTTTCAGTGCTCGAAACTTTATTCAACATTAGACTTACCTGATGTCTCTCAAGGTGTAAGGACAAAATGTACCACTGTGTGTATTTCTTCTCCATTAGCAAGTTATGCTCCGGCTGGTTTCTTCTGCACACTGCTGCTTCCCCTCTGAAGGAATTATTCTCTTCTCAGAGCCCTGCTGTTCATTCTAAGACCCACACTCCTGATTCCTGGATAACACTGAGAACGTTTTCTGACTTAATCCTTCCTGACCTCCTCCCCTACCCCAGGCTCTGCTCTACGTTGCACTTTAAATCATACTGCCCTATGAACGTAATCTGGCAACTTCACCCACAAGCCTTCCCACTCCCCCAGGGAACAACTCCCCCCTATACAACCCTAAATGGTTCTTTAGACAACAGCCTGTCTCATCTGTCCTGGAGCCCTCTTTCTACAGGTCAAGTTTAGAAGTGGCCAGGTCAGGTGAGAAATGGGCGCCTTGTCCACACCAACCACAGAGTTGGAAAGTTGGCAGGGTACTTTCAGGCTCAGGTGTTAAAAGGGGGCAGATTTCAGGACATGGGCCAAACAACTGTTGGGGGGAGGATGTGAAGATGAGAAATGTTGATGCTGAGGGACCCAGTGAAATCAATGAAACACTTGAGTCTTACTTGGGTTAGCAAAGAGAGGTGAGTGGAGGCTTAGGGAGTTAGGATATGATACAGATGAAAGGTTTATTTAAGAAGAAAGAAACAGAGATAATATATACATATAGAGAGATGTATATAGATGTATATATGTCCCAATATATTGAATGTACAGAAAGGAAGTATTCAGAGAATTTAGTTTAGTGGGTAGGTATCCTGTCCTGGTTGTGGGGTAGAAAACCCAGATTTTCCAACTTACAACCAGTGATCTTGGTTTCAACATGGAAGTGATACAGCTGATGAGGGATTTCATGTTTGATGATGGGGAAGGGAGGGGTAGAAGCTGCCTTTCAGAGATAAAGAGCTATCCATCGAAGCTTATGATGAACCTTGTGCTATTGATAAGATCAGGAAGAGAGGTGTTAGAAGGAAAATGGGGAGGGGAGATACCCTATCCATGGAAAGCTAGGAAAAATCTACTACTTACGCTATGTGCCCCCATCCCAAATAGCATCCTCTCACTGTAGTACCTGTTTTTTTTTTTTTTTTAAATAAAGCACATAAATAAAGCACCCTCTGTTTCCCTCTATTGAAGTACGATATATTTCCCCTTCTTCCACAGGGGTGGGAGCAGCTGCAGCTCCAGCCCCTGGAACGAAACTGAGAAACTAAGCACATTGGTGTATGAGAGGCACTAAAGGGAAACCTCAACCCTGAATCCAAATGGCAAGACTGAAAAGCTGTTGGGACAAGATACTCCTAAGGCAGAGGCTCAGCCCCTCAAAGGCTGCAAGTAGCCCTGAAAGAAGGCCATTTATGCCAGAAGAGTCCTAATCCTGGCATTTGGGCATACAGGGTGATGTTTTGGCTTTGATGCTTCTGTATGAAAGCAGGGAGTGGGTCTGAGGTACCTTGAGAGCTTCTGAAATTCCCATACTACGCTCTGCCTTATTATCTCCCTAGACCCGCATCAGTCTGTAAGTCATCCAGGGATTTTCCTATGAGGTCTGAGCGGAGAGAAGAAGCCAGTTATACCATTGATACAAGCCACGTACACTGTACCACCCCCAACGCTCCTATTCCTGGTCCATTACCCATGTTAGCCAACCTAGTTTATGTGTGAAATAACACATTACCTTTGCTGTACAGTTAGTACAGGCCTCCAGGTTCAGTAATGTCCAACTCTACTGAAGGAGAAGCATCTAGTGATGGTTTTTCCATTCATTGCATTAAAGATTACGTCAGGTCAATTTTACCTAGGGAAAAAAGGTGTTTTTTTCTTTGCTTATTTTATTTTTATCCATTCAGAACAAACTACTAAATAAAATAGATGAGTCTCTCATCTTCACCTTAACTTCTTTGAGAAATCTAAGCCAATACTATTATCATAGCCTGAACACACAGGGGGAGGACTGAGTTAGGCTGTGCTAGAAGAGCTTCTGACTGCGTTACTAGAATTTTTCCCTTTGATTTTTCTTATTAATAATATTACCCATTCCATCCACTTCTTTCCTATATTGCCCCTTATTAACATTAGGATTCTTTAGAACATGCTTTTTTTAAATTTAATTAAATTTTATTTATTTTGAAAGGCAGAGTTACAGAACGAGGAAAGAGAGAAAGAGGGAGGGAAAGAGGGAAAGAGGTCTTCTCTCCACTGGTTCACTCCTCAAATGGCCACAATGGCTGGACCTGTGCCAGGTCAAAGCCAGGAGCTTCTTCCAAGTCTCTCATGTGAGTGCAGGGGCCCAAGCACTTGCACCATCTTCCACTGCTTTCCCAGGCAGCTGGATTAGAAGTGGAGCAGTCCGGACCCAAATTGGCATTTATATGGGATGCCCACACTGCAGGCAATGACTTAACCTATTATACCACAGCACAGGCCCCAGCACATACTTTTAAAAATCAGTTTTATTTATTTTTTAAAAAGATTTCTTTAGGGGTTGGCACTATGGCACAGCGGGTTAACACCCTGGCCTGAAGTGCAGGCATCCCATATGGGCACTGGTTTGAGACCCGGCTGCTCCACTTCCGATCCCACTCTCTGTTATGGCCTGGGATAGCAGAAGGTGGCCCAAGTCCTTGGGCCCCTGCACCTGCGTGGGAGACCTGGAGGAAGCTCCTGGCTCCTGGCTTCGGATCGGCGCAGCTCTGGCCGTTGCGACCAATTGGGGAGTGAACCAACAGATGGAAGACCTCTCTCTCTCTCTCTCTCTCTGCATCTCCTCTCTCTGTGTAACTCTGACTTTCAAATAAAGATAAATAAATCTTAAAAAAAGATTATTTACTTATTTGAAAGTCAAAATTACAGAGAGAGGGACACATGGGATGGGGGAGGGAGGGAGAGAGAGATTTTCCATCTGCTGGTTCACTCTCCAAATGGCTACAATGGGGGCCAGTGCTATGGTGTAGTATGTTAAACCTTTGCCTGCAGCTGCAGCATCCCATATGTGCCAGTTGGAGTCCCAGCTGCTCCTCTTGTGATCCAGCTCACTGCTGATGGCCTGCGAAAGCAGTGAAAGACGGTCCAAATGCTTGGGCCCCTGTACTCACGTGAGACCCAAAAGAAGCTCCTGGTTCCTGGCTTTGGATTGGCCAAGCTCCAATTGTTGTCGCCATTTGGGGAGTGAATCAGCAGATGGAAGACCTTTCTCTCTCTCTCTCTCTCTCTCTCTCTCTCTCTCTCTCTCTGCCTCTGCCTCTGCCTCTGCCTCTGCCTCTGCCTCTCTGTAACTCTGCCTTTCAAATAAATAAATTTACTTGAAAGGTAGAGTTACAGCATCCATATGGGATGCCAGTGCTACAGATGGGGGCTTAACCAGCTGTGCCACAGTGTCAGCCTCTAAAATTCAATTTTTAAAGGCCAAGATTAAAAAAACATCTGAAAACTAGCTCATCTTAATCCAAGAAGTCTAAGTTATTTTGTAACTGGGCATTGTCCCCTTTGGCCAGTGATTACATGCCCAGTTTCCCTTCCATGCTTCTGCGTAGACTCGTTGCTGATTTTCCTCAAGAAAAATCAAGTCTCCTCAAGTCTCAAAAAAAATGGATTTGCCTTCTATCCTTATCTATAATAGCCTGAGAAAGGGTGTCAATATCCAATCCTGAATTCTGACAAAAAACAACAGATCCTATAGTAACTATTCTTCCTCCCTCCCCCGAAATGGAAGAACAGAGGGAAAAAAGAAGGGAAAAAAATTTGGTCTCTTATCACCAATAATAAATACTTAACTGTAACATTTACAAAGCACTAAGACTGGATCATGACACATATGAGAAAAATAAGATATAATGATATATAAGATATAATGTATATAATGTATATATAATATAATGTATGTAATGTATATATAAGATATAATGTATAGTTCCTAAAGGTTAGAAGAAGAAACTTAGAAATTTGTAAGAAAGAGGTAGCATGTACTAAGGGCAGGTAAAAGGCATGGAACAAATATACCTCATGGTAATAACAAGCCCCACATACTGATGCCAGATAAAGCATTAATAACATGTTCCAAAAATAGTGGGGTCATTGTGGAAAACGTCACAGGAACAAGTACTAGGCAAGGGATCATCAGTTAGAAAACATCTGACATTAAATGCACGAAAAGTCAGCACAGCAAACATTTACTGAGTTCCTATTATATGGAAGGTACTGTTTACCTAATGAAGAAATGTGAGACATGATACATTCCATCAAGGGATGTACACTTGATATCCCTTCTGTGGAACTCTCCCCACTGCCTGCCAACCCCAACTTTCTTAACTCTCACTATTCCCATTTTAGATAAAAATAAATATCATTAAGGCCGGCGCCGCGGCTCAACAGGCTAATCCTCTGCCTGCGGCGCAGGCACACTGGGTTCTAGTCCCAGTCGGGACGCCGGATTCTGTCCCGATTGCCCCTCTTCCAGGCCAGTTCTCTGCTATGGCCCGGGAGTGCAGTGGAGGATGGCCCAAGTCCTTGGGTCCTGCACCCCATGGGAGACCAGGAGAAGCACCTGGCTCCTGGCTTCGGATCAGCGCAATGTGCCAGCCGCAGCGCGCTGGCCACGGCGGCCATTGGAGGGTGAACCAACGGCAAAGGAAGACCTTTCTCTCTGTCTCTCTCTCTCACTGTCCAGTCTGTCAAAAATAAATAAATAAATAAATAAAAAATAAAAAAATACCATTAAAAGCTATAACACTTTCTGTAATTTTACATTACTTATGAATTTATTTGATCAATATATCTTACTCACTAGACTTATAAGTGTTATGTGACTTGAATTCATGTCAAGTGTTTGATCAATAGTACAATTCAGCACCTCGCACAATGCCAGGCAAGTATGATGCCCAATAAATGTAGCAGGAAGGAAGGAAAGAAAAGGGGGAGTTTATTATTTTTTTTTCTTTAGGTAGTTGGGAGCTATGGGAAATGAGCAAGGGAAAGAACCTAAGTAAAATATTTTTTATGAATATCAATCTTACAGTAGAATTGAGGCAGGAGACATAAACTACTTAAGAGACCTTTAAGAGGTTGGGGGAGGGACCAGCACTGTGGTCCAGTGTGTTAAAGCCTCAGCCTGCAGTGCTGGATCCCTATGGGTGCTGGTTCAAGTCCTGGCTGCTCTGCTTCTGATACAGCTCCCTGCTAATGCACCTGGGAAAGCAGTGGAAGAAGGCCCAGGTCCTTGGGCCCCTGCACTCATATGGGAGACTGGGAAGAAGCTGCTGGATCCTGGCTTTGGTTTGGCTCAGCTCTGGCCTTTGCAGCCATTTAGGGAGTGAACCAGCGGATGAAAGACCTTTCTCTCTCTGTCTCTTTCTCTGTCTTTAAAATAAATAAAATAATTTTTTTTTTTTAAAGAAAGAGGTTGAGGGAAAGATTGCCACAGTTCCTAGTATAGTACTGTCTAGGTGTTGATGCATATTATTTAATTGCATTGTTGAAGGTCTAGACCAAGGTACAGGATTCTGAGCATGGAAATAATTAGGGATGTAGTCAAAAGACATCATAATGCAGGACAGAGGAACAAGATGTAGCAAAAATGAAAGTGACTGAATTAGGCTTCCAGCAGGAAAGAGATGGTACATTCAAAGTGCTAATTGGACAGGTTTTAATGAAGGAATTATTTACAAGGGTGTATGCAGGTTTAATACATAAACAAGAGATGGTGAAGCACCCTGGAACTCACAAAAGTAGGAAGCCTTTGCCAGTCTTAAATCTGAGGAACAGTTACTGGAATCTGGTGAGGGTTGTACCCAAGGGACAAGGCTATAGTTCCAACAGGAACCATGGCCATATGTAGAGGTATTCAGATCTTGCCAAAGATCAGCTGGTGCCTCCCACTAGCCTATTCTGATGGGAGGACTGAGTGATTCTGCCCTCAGAGGTTATTTTCTTGGAGCACAGAACAGAGCAAAAGAGCTGGAGAGTAGATATGGAAGAGTAATGAGAGCAAATGCGTTACAATGAACAAGACCAGTGTTCTGGTTAAAGATATTAGGGGCAAGCTATGAATATGTGCCTTCCCTAGCCACTTGTTCTAAAAGTATGGAAATCTAGGAGCTTGTAGTAAATGGGTGAATTAGAAAGCATTACAGTAGTCTAAGAAGCAATGAAGAGTTGAGTGCAGTTATGCATGCTAATAAATGTTTTGGTCAATGATGGACTGCATACAAGATGCTAGCTCCATAAGATTATATTGTCTGGTGACATTAAAGCAGTTTTAGTTTAAGTCCACTTTATGATGCTCATACATTTCTAAGAATGTACTACTATCATTAAGCAGCCATGATCATATTTGAAAAAACATATGCTTTTTCAGGGAGATGTACAAATAGAATCCCTTAGCCTAATGCAAAATGATCAGTATAGGGTCCACAAATCCTGTGATGCTTCTGTTCCACATGGAAACAGAAACTGAAGTTGAATCTCTTTGTCCAGAATATTTTAGACAGCTCCAGCCCTTTCTTTATTCCCACAATTAGTATTTACATCTCACTCCTTTGGTTTCAGTGACATGTTTAGTTTCTTTTGATTAGTTTTTGTTTCCTTATCCGTCCAAATTTTGTGACTCTCACTTCTCCCCTAGGTCAGCCATAAAGGGACATATTGACTGAAGTCTTTCTGCCATACTACCTAAGCTATTCCAGTCAGAAGAACTTTTGCCATGTTAATTCTTAGAGATTTACCTCCAATAATCTCTGCCTTCTGGGACTAAGTTTCACTTATCTATTACTCAAAGAGGAAAAGAATAAATCAGAGGCAGAAAGAATCATAGTGAGAGAGAGTATCAGAAAGATTCACACAACAGATCAATGAGAGGAAACAGAGAGGGAACTTAAATTTATAGTCAACATTTTACTTAGAAGTCTGTCAGATATTGACTAAGATATCCTAAGTCAGAAGGATCTGGTTTTGAGTTTCTGCTCTGCCACTAGCTGGCTATTATGATTTAGAAAAACTACTTGAGCTCCATCAATCTTAATTTTCCTCATTTGTAAAGATGGGAATATCTACCTTATATGAAAATTATTTAGCACACTGCTTGGCACACTGCAAATAAATCTTCAAATCTTGCTATTATAAATCATCATCATAATTACCAGTTGAATGGTGACTATATGGCCAATATACCTTAGAAATTGATAGAAATAATTAACAATATAAGGCATATAATTATCTCAAGGCATATAAAAGGACAAGAGATATCAGAACATGAATGGAGAATAAGGTTGACATGCTTCATCCAGAGGATAAATGTGAAGTGTAGGATGGATGAGTAGAGGGTAATCCTGAGAGCGGCATGCTCAGAAGGGATGGAGTGACCTTTCCTTATGTGAGGAGAAGACATCCCCCAGGCAGCAGACTCAATCTGTGAAACCAAGTCAGTCAGTACTTCCCAAAGGTTTACCACGTGGTTAAAACTGCAGGAAATTATAAGGGATTGAAAAAAGTTTAGAGATAAGATCCAACTCCTACCCTCAAGAACCCTGCAAATCTGAAGAAATCAAATTCTGCAATGCAGACTGTAAGTGCAGTAAGTGACCACAGCAAGGACAGAGTTAATGCGCTGGAGTGAGGTGTGTGAAGGGGCAGACCTTGACACGGGTAAAACATATTCCAAGGGGGAAAAAGCTTCATGTTGGAGCACTCCAAGGATGTCACCTTAGAAGTATTCTGGTAGGAGGAGCATTCAAAAATAATCCAACTTTTACTGACTGGCTAGTCTAAGTCCGTACAGAAAAGAACTAGACAGACTCAGTTCTTACGAAACTTAAAGAGTCCTGATCAAAAACTAGGAGAAAACAAAACAACAAGTTACTACAGAGCAGCATGACAAACAATAAAGGGTGATCTGGATGGCAGGCCCTGGGCCACTCTTGTATGTTGCCAGGCAGGATTGTCTACTCACTTGTCTGGAGCATGGGGCCCCTCTGCCCCAGCCTGCCTACCCCTGGACAGTGGAGAGGACTGGCAGGTGAACACTGTGCCTGATGAGCCAGCAGGCTGAGCGCCAGAATAGGCTTCTAGGAGTTAACACTTGAGCTGAGGCCTGCGGGCGGAGTGGGTGTTTGCCAGGGAGGACAACTTTGGCAGAAGGAATAATAAACAGAGTCTGGCACGGCAGCTTGTCTCCCCCATCCTCTCCACCTGGGGTTGCCCGATAAAATTCAGGGCGCTCACTGAAATCTGAATTTCTGGTAAACAACTGATAGTTTTGGAAATATAAGAATGCCCCTAACATTGCAAGCAACATACACATTCTGCCTCTGCTTCAAATGATCCCAGCCGGTCTCAGGAGACTCACAAACTCCTCGCGAATACCGGAGAGCTGGTGTAGTAAAGTATTGGACACTATCTCAGGCTTCTTTTCCTTTCAATCCTAATTTTTCACTCTCTGGCCTCCAGCCAAGGCCTACGGGATATAGCTCGCAGCTTGTTGGGTCGGGGGTCCGCCTCCTGATGACTGGAATTGGGGAAGGAGACGAGCGGCCCACTCATGAAAACACATTCGCTCCGTTCTTCAGTATTTTCGGCCAGTGAGGGCTGTCGGGCAAGCGGATGTTGTCTTAGCCAGGAATCGGAAGTCCCGCCTCCGAAGGGGGAGGAGCAGAAGCTAGACAGCCAATGCCGGGGGAGGAATTCTAGGGCCGGCGCCTCCGAGAATCCCGCGCGGGGCTGGTAAACGGAAGCAGCGCGGAGGCGGGGCTCATGCCGGAAGTGATCGTTCCCTGGTGGTTCCCGCAGGCTCCCTAAGAGGTAGGAGATGCGCCGGCCACTCGCGGCGGGAAGTGGAATCGAAGGTTAGACGTACGAATGCAGTTGGGAGGCGGGCGGAGCGGCTGTCTTGCAGTCAGATCATGGACTCGACCAAGCACTGGGGAGAGTGGCTCCAGAACGTGCGGGTGTCCCCTGCCGGCGTGTTTGGTGTGGCTTTCCTTGCCCGGGTCGCCCTGGTTTTCTATGGGGTCGTCCAAGACCGGACCCTGCTCGTGAGGTATACAGACATCGACTATCAGGTCTTCACGGACGCGGCGCGCTTCGTCACGGAAGGGCGCTCCCCGTATCTGAGGGCGACCTACCGTTACACTCCGCTGCTGGCTTGGTTCCTCACCCCCAACATCTACCTCGGCGAACTCTTTGGGAAGTTTCTCTTCATCAGCTGCGACCTGCTCACCGCTCTCCTCCTATACCGCCTGCTGCTTCTGAAGGGGCTGGGGCCCCGCCAGGCTTGCGGCTACTGTGCCTTTTGGCTTCTCAACCCCCTGCCTATGACGGTGTCCAGCCGAGGCAACGCGGACTCTATCGTCGCCTCCCTGGTGCTGATGGCCCTGTACGCACTCGAGAAAGGACTGGTCGCGTGTGCCGCCGTTTCCTACGGGCTCGCGGTGCATATGAAGATCTATCCGGTGACCTACATCCTGCCCATTGCTCTCCACTTGCTTCCTGAGCGTGACCCTGACAAAGCCCTCCGCCCAGCCCGGTGTTCCTTCCCGGCTCGGTTGTGGGAGTTCCTGGAGAGGCTGTGTAATCGCGCTGTGCTGCTCTTCGTGGCGGTGTCCGGACTCACGTTTTTTACTCTGAGCTTTGTTTTTTACTGTAAATACGGCTGGGAATTTCTGGAGCACACCTACCTTTATCACCTGACCCGGCGGGATATCCGGCACAACTTTTCTCCGTACTTCTACATGCTGTATTTGACTGCCGAGAGCAGGTGGAGCCTCCCGCTGGGATTTGCAGCATTCCTGCCACAGTGCATCTTGCTTTCAGCGGTGTCTTTCGCCTACTACAGGGACCTTGCCTTTTGTTGTTTTCTCCATACGTTCATTTTTGTGACTTTTAACAAAGTCTGCACCTCCCAGTACTTTCTGTGGTACCTCTGCCTTCTGCCCCTTGTGATGCCACTAGTGCAAATGCCTTGGAAAAGATCTGTGGTCCTCCTAATGTTATGGTTTCTAGGGCAGGCCTTATGGCTGGCTCCTGCTTACCTTCTTGAGTTTCAAGGAAAGAACACCTTTTTGTTTATTTGGTTAGCCGGTTTGTTCTTCCTTCTTATCAATTGTTCCATCCTGATTCAGATTATTTCCCATTACAAAGAAGGATCCCTGACAGCCAGAATCAAATATGACTAACGTATGTTCTAGATCTTCTACCACTTTTTGTCTATTACATTTTGATCTGTATGGATCAAAAGAGAGCTTCGGAAATTTTTTGCTGAACATTTTTAGCACTCCAGTGAAAACTGCCTTGTTCCAACACAAATTAAAACCAACATTTGCCTTATGTGTATAACAGGGACTCAATAATTGAGGTCCATGCTCTGGGAAATCTTAGGGCTTAGTTGTTACCTGATGAGAAGTGAAAGTTAACTTGTTTGAAAATGGAAAGGCTGATGAAACTATCAGATGCTTACTAAAACATTCTTGTAGAAAAATAGGGGGAATGTAGATAGAAACATAAGATTTAAGCCAGTGTCTATTATTTGTTCCAGTTATGCTACCATATTAAGTTTTTTAAATCTTTCACCACCCCCTTTTCCTTTCTAAACGTTTCCTGACAGCTGTGAAAATTCACAAAGTATTCTTAAAGTTACAACTTTTTAAATTAAAAAGTATTAAATAATACTACCATGCTTAGTTGGGAAAGCTTTAAAATTCTGTATTAAAAAGTGGGGACTTAGAAATAATCCAAAGAGTTTATATCGAAATCACATATCACATATATATATATATATTTTAACATGTATTTTATTTATTTGAAAAACGGAGTTACAGAGAGAGGTAGAGACAGAGAGAAGTCTTCTGTCTGCTGATTCACTCCCCAAGTGGCTGCAATGGCCAGGGCTGAGCCAATCTGAAGCCAGGAGCTTCTTCCAGGTCTCCCACGTGGGTGCAGAGGCCCAAGGACTTGGGCTATCTTCTGTTTTCCCAGGTGCATTAGCGGGAAGCTGGCTCAGAAGCAGAGCAGCCAGGACTAGAACCAGCACCAGCGCTGGGATGCCAGCGCTGCAGGCTGGGGCTTTAACCTGCTGCGCCATAGCCAGCCCCTCATATTTGTTTTATAACGTAGTTTTTTGATGCTTGGTTTCAGGGGTATTAGACTTTAGTTTTATACAAAAAAGATTAAATTTATTTTTCATAAATGTTTATTTTCATATACATGAAAGGTAGGGCAACAGAGAGAGAAAGAGAGCTCTATCTATCGACTGCTTCACTCCCCAAATTCCCTTAACAGACAGGATTAGGCCAGGCTGAAGCCAGGAATACAGAACTCAACCTGGGTCACTTTGGTGGGTGGCCATGGCCCAAGCACTTAAGTCGTCATCTGCTGCCACCCAGGATGTATTAGCAGGAAGCTGGACCAGAAGCACCATGGCTGGGATTCAAACCAGCACTCTGATATGAGATGCAAGTGTTGTAATCTGTGGTTTAACCTGCTGCACCACAGTGGCACCCCAAGGATTGAATTTAAATCCATCCATCTTTAGACTTGTTAGATCTTTTAAAATATCATCTTGCTTTCCATGTTTGAGCCACTCAAACCTTCTGTAACCTGCTCCCACATTCTTCAACTTACTTAATTAAGCCTTTAGGTATTTTGTGCTATCTTTATGTTTCCAGTCCAATCTAGACATTTTACTTTAAGACAAAATAATTTTTAAAAGCAATGTCTTTTCTTTATGCAGAGTTTTTTTTTTTTTCTTTTTCTTTTTTTTTTTTTTTTTACCCTTTTTTAAGATGAACACACTGTGTTAGGAAAATGGCGCAGTCTTATCTATGGCATGATCTATACCCTGACACCACCATAGGCTCTAGCCCCCGCTGCCATTGCTGGAAGCCAGGTGGCGGTGTCAAGCTCCACCCCCATCCTAATGGGATTCACTGCTCCTACTTCCCTGTCCGCCCCCTGGCAAAGTTTTAAAAGGACCTGTTCCTGAACAGGCTCTCTCCTCTCTCGCTCACTCGCTGTCTTCCTTTCTCTCTCTCTCTTCCTCTCCTTCTCCTGATCTCTGTCTCTGTCTGTCTCTCTTACACTCTTCTGCTTCTTTTCCTTCTTCGCCCCTTCCCTCCAGACTGTCGGGTTTCCCCCAATAAACTCTTTCCCTTACTCTGGTGTTTGGTGTGTTTTGTGGTGGCCTTACACACTGTCCTCTAAAATTTCTGCAACTTGCCCACAGATTCTTTTTATTTATTTACATCTGAAATAATCATTTTAAAAGCTCCAAATTAATACAAAAATTCTTAAATAACAAATTGTAACCTTAGTTACTTTCAAGCAGTCTTGAATTAAACACATAAATTATTAGAACATTTTGGTGTGCCTCTTACCTCTTTATAACTTTCTAATTGACAAGATTTTTCATTTAGAATTTAATCAACTACTGTCTATGTTGTAAAAATGAGTATGAGTAGAATTTAGGTGATATGAAGTTTTACCACCTAAATTGCTAGTAATTTCTTGGCTTAAACGAATTGCACTTAGGAAAACTACACAATGAAATGGAGACCTTTGAAGGAGATTCCTGGGAAGCATAAGCAGCATCCTAAGGAGCCATTGGTTTTCTGGATCAGGAAAGTGGGACGAGGATCTGGGGGGTTGTGGAAATGAGACTTTGATGACAAGATTTATATCCCTTATCACTATAGTATTTATGGGACAGATGCTTTCTGAATTGTTTAAACAGTCATTCTAATTTTCTTTTAAACAGCCCATCTAGGTTAGGGCAAAAAAGCAGTAGCAATATGTGAGTATGATTTTGTGATTGTAGATTTTATTTATTCGTTTATTTGATTGGCAGAGATATAGACAGATAAAGAGAGGCTCCCATCTGCTGGTTCACTCCCCAAATGCCTATTACAGCTAAGGCTGGGGAAAGCTGAAGCAGGGAACTGGGAACCCAGTCCAGGTCTCCCACCTGGGTATTGGAGAAACCTAATTACTTCAGCCATAATCCCTGCCTCTCAGGGTTTGTGTTAGTAGGCTGCTGAAGACAGGAGTGGAACTAGATGTTGAACCCAGGGACTCCAGTATAGCAGTGGGCATCTTAACTACTTGGCCAAATGCCCATCCCTGATTAGTTTTTCAAGATGGGTAATTTAACAAATTGGCTTTTTTTTTGCAGCTGGAAAACAAAAACGAATAGAAAGCTCTAGAGAAGTAATATATTTCATGTCAATTCGGGGCTAAAAGAGCCTTTGAGAATAAAGTGTTTATAAGCTGGTCATAATTAAGAATTATATGTCTGGCAGCATTTGTGTGCTGGATGCCTTTTGGGATCTGCCATTAGAAAGAAGGAAAGAATGAGTGGTTTTGCGGCTGTTTGAGTGAAATTAGCAGTCAGATATTGAGGACAATGACCTTTCTTAGAACATCTAGTCTCATACTCTATATTGGCTTTTATCTTGAGGGTTCTTGGTATGTGAGAGTTCACTAGTGGCCTTCTAGCCATGGCATTCTTACTTTTATTTTTCATTCTTTTTATAATAATTTTAAAAAATTTGATAGTGCTAGTGGAGGAGGTAATCAGTGAGAAAAAGGAACAGAATTTCCTCATTCCAATGTAATTTTTTGGTATTTCAATTTTTTATAATTATACTTACTAATTTCTTTATTTTTACTTTAACTTTTTTTGGGGTCTTATTAATTTCTGAGTAATAATGTGATAATATGGGTATTTGTGCAATAACTACATTATTCTTTCACTGTTAAACCTTTAAGGTGACTTCCAGTTTTTAATATTCTCAATGAGATTTTCCATGATTTTAGTCATTCTCCTAGGACATTCTTAGAAGTCAGCAAATTTCTGCTTGGGTCTTTGGGTGGAATGTTAACTCCATATTCTGCCCTGCCAGAAGTTTTTTTTTTTTTTAACCAAGGATATGTAGATGTTTTTACAGAGGGTGTTTTGCAGTTTATGTGCTGCAAACTTATTTAGTTAACCCAAGAAATGATTTAATTTTGTCTTTTGGGGATTTAAAATTTTTCATTTATTTTTGCTTTCCGGTTGTGTAAATCTTTTTTTGGCTTCTTTTCACTTGTAGTCCTTATTCTTTACACCTTAAAATTAAATAGTACTTTGGCTTACTTCCTACATAATTCTCTTTTTTAATATATATATTTTAAAGAATGGGATGGGAGAGGGAGAGGGTGATGGGATGGTTGCGGGTGGGAGGGAGGTTATGGAGGGGGAAATCCACTATAATCCAAAAGTTGTATTTTGAAATTTATACTTATTAAATAAAAAATTTTTTAAAAGATTTATTTATTTATTTGTAAGGCAGAGTTACAGAAAGGTAGAGGCAGAGAGAGAGAGAGAAAGAGAGATTTTCCATCTACTGGTTCACTGACCATATGGCTGAAATGGCCAGAGCTGAGCTGATCGATTTGAAGCCAGGATCCAGGAGCTTCTTCTGGGTCTTCCACGTGGGTGCAGGGGGCTCAAGGACTTGTGCCATCCTCCACTGATTTCCCAGGCCCATTAGCAGGGAGCTGGATAGGAAGTGGAGCAGCTGAGACTCAAACTGGTGCCCATATGGGATGCCAGTGCTGCAGTCTGGGGCTTTAACCTGCTGCACTACAGCGCCGGCCTCCACAATTCTTTTTGTTCTTATACCACTCTACAAAAGCAATATATTCAATTAGTGATAAGTATTAATTATTAAATTAAGAGGAATGAGTCTCAAAATAGCCTGTATGCTAAACAGAGGGGACTACAGACTTTTTTTTCTTTTGTAATTACATTTTTAACCATTTCAAAATATCCTTATAGATCCCTATTTCTGTTTTTTTAATTTTTAAATTAATTTTTTTTGACAGGCAGAATTAGTGAGAGAGAAAGGTCCTCCTTTTTCCATTGGTTCACCCCCCAAATGGCCGCTATGGCTGTTGTGTTGCAGCGCCGATCGCGCTGCGCCGATCCGAAGCCAGGAGCCAGGTGTTTCCGCCTGGTCTCCCATGCAGGTGCAGGGCCCAAGCACTTGGGCCATCCTCCACTGCCTTCCGGGCCAGAGCAGAGAGCTGGACTGGAAGAGGAGCAACTGGGACAGAATCTGGTGCCCCAACTGGGACTAGAACCCGAGGTGCCAGTGCTGCAGGCGGAGGATTAGCCAAGTGAGCTGCGGCGTTGGCCCCTATTTCTGTTTTGTGATTAGAACTGGAAAGGCTAATATTTTTCCTCCAAAACCCTACCCCAGCAAAAGAATTGTCTTAAAACTTCAGGTTTTAGTACTGACTTTTCACCAGCTGGATTCTATAAGTGATATTAACATTGTTTCAGAAGTTGCTCTGTAGTTGGCTGACCTATGGCTGAATATGTTATTTATCCAACATCAATTGTTTTCTGCTTAACCACCTCTGCCATTAACCATCTGTACCATGAGTGGAAAAGGAAGAAGATGGAGCATTTTACTTGGGATGGTCCCTAAATGCAACCTCCCCTCCTCTAGTGCTTTAATATGCATTATTTTAAACATGACCCATATAACGTTATATAACATTTTACCACATTAGCTTAATTACTTATTTTAAATATAATTCTGAACCATGAAAGTTGTAAACATTTCTAAACTTCACTAAATACATCATCAGCATTCATCTGCTAAAATTAGTCTTTTCTTACAAACCATAATGCTGTTACCTAATAAATTTTAGCATTCTGTTTTCAAATTTCTCCAGCTGTTTTGTATTTAATCTTAAAAGACAAACATTGTTGGATCTCAAAGATTCCTTGAAAGAAATATCGTGATAGATAATCCAGGATTAAGAGGTTTGAATCTTTTCCTAGTCTTTAAAACAGTGTGAACACTAAGGGAATTTACTTTCGTTGAAGTTGAACAAGTGATTGTTCCTGTATACTATTCTTTGATCTCTCTCCTAAGAAAATAATTGTTTTGTTTGATAAATCTTCCAGATAAAATGTTTGGAATCTTAATATCCAGTCTTCTCACCTCCCAAACAACAACAGATTAACTGGTTTTATATCATAATAATAGTAAGATATTAATGATTAACTGATTGGGGGTACCTGTTCTGCCATATATGGCTTAATTTAATTTTTATGGCAACACTTCAAAGGTGGCATTTGTACTCTAAGTTTTTAATCCATGAACAAAGAGACACAGTAAGTGGGTTGCTAATAGTGACAGAGCAGGAATTTGAAGTGAGTTTTTCTTTTAAGTATTTTTTATTTGAAAGGCAGAAACACAGAAAGGGAAAGATACATACAGGCAGAGATCTTTTCATCCACTGGTTTACTCACTAAATGCTGGCAAGAGCTGGGGCTGGGCCAGGCTGAAGCCAGGGGCCCAGAACGCAACCTAGGTTTCCTGGGTGGGTGGCTGGAACCCAAGTTCTTGAGCCATCACTTGCTGACTTTCAGGGTGTGATTAGCAGCAAGTTGGAATCAGGAACCACTGGAGCTGGGACTCAAAACACAGGCACTCCCAGATGTCCCAAGCTGCATTTTAACCACTGCCCAAATGCCCACCCTTGAAGTGAGTTTTTCTGATTAAAATGCTTTTTCTACTATATTATGCTTTAGATTTTTCCAGAGTCCTCACACCTAGCAAATAGACTGCTGCAAAGTAAATGGAACGCAACACTAACTGACACAGGGTTTGCCAGTCAACCTGTTATTCCTAGTCTTTCACATATTTGCTTGTGTGGGCAGCTCTTTCTCAGCTGTACCACGTTTCTGTCATTATCAACCTTTTAATGATTCCAGACCTTTCATAATCCCCTCTCACATCCAAACCTTCTCTCACCAAATTATGGGAGTTCTTTGTTATTGCTAACTTCGTCATGCCCCTTCCTTCCGTAGGCTAAGAAATCAGTTTCCTGGGTCACATCTTAACCAGCTAATTGTGGTAAATAAATCAAGCTATGGCCATTATTTCCAAAATTCATCATTAAATCTCTCTTGCTCTGCAGCATATGAGAGGGTCTTCGAAATGTTTATGGAAAACATATGTTATAAAAAAACACATAAATTTCTTTTTTTTAATAATTTTTTTTGACAGGCAGAGTGGACAGTGAGAGAGAGAGACAGAGAGAAAGGTCTTCCTTTGCCGTTGGTTCACCCACTAATGGCCGCTGCGGTCAGCACATTGTGGCTGGCATACCGCGCTGATCTGAAGCCAGGAGCCAGGTGCTTCTCCTGGTCTCCCATGGGGTGCAGGGCCCAAGGACTTGGGCCATCCTTCACTGCACTCCCGGGCCACAGTAGAGCTGGACTGGAAGAGGGCCAACCGGGACAGAATCCGGTGCCCCGACTGGGACTAGAACCCGGTGTGCCGGCGCCGCAGGCGGAG